TTTTGACCTTGGGCGAAAAAGATGCAGAAGCTGCTGGATCCACAAGATGGACATCATGGCTGAGGTGTTTGACATGCAATGACTGAAAACCTCCTGAATGAGGATGATTGTAAACGTAGATTACACAATTCCTACACCTTTTTAACTCCACTGCAATGTTCATTTACAACACATGGACATTCTGTATTATGGTTACGTTTTTCAGTACTCATTACAGATAAAACCGAAAAAAATACATAAATAAAAAAACTGGACTTTATTTGTAACTGAAGATGTATCACTTTTCATCCGAGGCTCTTTCTCAATTTAATGAAACGAGTAGTGTGATTCAAGTTATAAAGCTGTGGTGTGCCGTAAGCTTGTATTATGGAGATCATGCAGATCAATCTCCAGCAAGCTTACAGAACACCACAGCTTTATAACTTTGTATGTATGTATGTTTTATTTATTCATTTCATTTCATCCAAACAACAAATATAATACAATTTAAAGAAAAGAAAAAAGATATACAATCACCGAAATAAAATGAAAGGCAGCAGAAGAAGAATGAATTCTTATAATATCTGCCCCTTGTCCCCAAAATATATTCCAAACAAAATTACTATACAAAAGCAAGATGAATTTATAAAAAAAATAAAAAAGTAAAAAATAATAAAAAAAAAACTTAGCTAAAATATAAGATCAACTGTAAACAATTTTTATGAACTCACATTATACTTAATATTTAAAAAAAAATAAAAAATTTTATCATCCTCTTGAATATGTACATAGTTTTGGCATTTTTAATATCAACCTCCAGATCATTCCACAATCTAATACCCTGAGATATAGTGGATCGCATCTTCAGACTGGTGCGACACCACGGCTTCACAAACATCTCCATCCCCTTAAGATAATAATTACTTTCTCTTTTAACAAATTTCCCTTGGATGTTAGTAGGTAGTATGTTTTTGTTGGCCCCATACATAAACAGTAAGATATTGTAATCAACCAAGTCATAAAATTTTAATAACTTTAGCTGAAGAAACAATATATTTGACGGATGGTTATAATCTTTTCTGGTAATAATTCTTATGGCTCTTTTCTGTAAAATAAAAATTGGATTTGTAATTGTTTTACATGCTTTACCCCAGACTTCAATACAGTAAATTAAATGTGGAACAATAATGGCATTATACAATAGAAACATTGCTTTATCATTGAATAACTCTCTAACTTTGTACATTACTGCAATCGATTTAGTTATTTTAGTTCTTAAGTTTTTTACGTGAGATCTCCATGTTAGTTTTTCATCAATGATGACACCCAGAAATTTCACCTCATTGACTCTATTAATTTCAATTCCATCGACTCTAAATGGAGTATCAAGCACTTTCTTGTTATTACTAAAAATCATATAATTTGTTTTATCAACATTTAAAGATAATTTGTTTAGTTTAAACCAATTTTGTATTTTCACAAATTCTGTTTGTGCCATCTTCAGCATTTGCACAACATTTTCACCCACACAAAGAAAAGTAGTATCATCTGCAAACAAAATACATTTAAAAAATCTAGTCACATTTACCAGGTCATTCACATATAAAATAAATAGCTTAGGTCCAAGTATAGAGCCTTGAGGCACTCCACATGTAATATTACAGAATTCAGATTTTACATCATTTATTTGAACAAATTGTTTCCTTTTTTCTAGATAACTAGATACCCACTGCAATGCATGCCCTCTAATTCCATATTTATTTAGTTTTTTGAGAAGAATATTGTGATCAATAGTATCAAATGCTTTCTTTAGATCAACATAAATACTAATACAATATTTTTTTTGATCCACAGCAGTCGTTATCTGTTCCATTAAATCCATGAGTGCCATTGACGTAGAATTTTTAGGTCTAAACCCATAATGACTATTACTTAATATATTTTGCTTATTGATAAATTCATCTAATCTAGTGACAAATAATTTCTCTAAAATCTTCGAAAACTGTGGCAACAACGATATTGGCCTGTAATTATTAAACACACGTTTCTCTCCACTCTTATATAATGCTATTACCTTGGCTATTTTCATGTTATTTGGAAATACCCCTGTTGAAAATGATAAATTGCATATATATGTAAATGGCTCAATAACATAACTCATAATATTCTTTACAAGCATCATATCCATGTCCATCCAGTCTTTTGATTTTTTATCTGCAAGATGTTTTACGATAGTCATAATTTCTTCTTTATCAGTTCCCCCAAGAAAAAAACTGTTTGTGTAATCCGTAACCATATGGTTTACATTTTTATCTATATTTGGGATTTTTGCTGCCAGACTTGGGCCAATATTCACAAAATGTTCATTGAATCCATTAGCGATTTCATTTTGGTCATAAATGTCTTTGTCATCTTTTACAAAATATTGTGGAATGCTCGATTTTGTTTTATGATTATTCAGAACACTGTTCATTATTTGCCATGTTGCCCTCATATTACCATTACTTTGGTCTAATAATTCACTGTAATATTTCTTTTTATGCTTTCTTATAATCCCTACCAATTTATTTTTATAATTTTTATATCTCTGTTCTGCTTCGTTTGTTCTTAATTTCAGAAAGTTTGAGTATAAGTAGTTCTTTTTTTTACAAGCATTTCTTAACCCTTTGGTCATCCACGGTTTGTCATCAACACGTTTCTTTGTGTAATTTTCTTGTACACAATTTTTTTCATACAAAGCTCCTAAAATATTCATAAATACATCATATGCTTTGTTTACATCAGCAACATATACATCCTTCCAATTTTGTTTTGTTAAATCTTCTTTTAGTTTATGTACAGATTTCTTTGATGTGTTTATTTTTTTCATAATTTTATCTACTTTCACATCATATTGATCTTTTTTATAGATAGTGAAGACTGGTAGGTGGTCACTGACATCCATGATCAAAATGCCACCCATAAGTTCTTTATTTGTTATATTTGTAAAAATGTTGTCAATTATTGAAGCACTATGGGCAGTAATTCTTGTGGGTTTTGAAATCAATGGATAAAGATTTAAACTGTGCATTGAGTTTATAAATGTTCCGATATTATTTGAGTCTGTTTTATTTCCCAGGTCTGTTAAAATCTCCACACAAAAAAACTGATTTATTTGAACTTTTTTCCAATATTGTCATGATGTGATTGGTGAATGATTCAATATTTGAATCAGGTGATCGATATACGCAACTTATCATTATATTTTTGGAAGTCTCGTTTAATATTTCAACTGTAATCATTTCCATAATGTTATCCACAGCTACTGACAATTTATTGATAATTTTACATTTAATTTCCTTATTCACAAGTAGAGCTACACCTCCACCTCGTTTATTGTTTCTGTTCACATGATAAAGTTCATACCCTTCAATATTAACAGTTTTTATATTTTCTTCATTTAGCCATGTTTCTGAGACTGCTATTATACTGAAAGTTCTGTTTAACTGATTTAAATAATCTGTTATTTTAGATAAATTTGTGTTTATACTTCTACTATTAATATGAATAATGGAGAAGTCATCTTTAGACATTTTAATTTCATTGAATTTTTCTTCATTGTAATACACTCTTTAATTTCAGGAAAAAAGTTTTTATCAATCACATCATCTATATTGTAAATTTTAAATTCTGAGTCTTCGTATGTTGTCATATTTCAATGTATGTGTCCATTTGTCATTTACCATTTTTAGCTTATCCGTTTACCTTGTTTAGTTTGTCCGTTTACCTTGTTTGTTTGTCCATTTCTGGACTCATTTAAATCTTTCCAGCTCCTTGAGTTCTTTTATTATTTTAGCATGAGACCCTTCCTGTTCTTTGATCCAAATGTTTCCGTTTCGGGTCCAAGTTGATGATATATTTTTTTGTTTTTTTAACAGCCTTGCTTCACGTGCAATATCTGCATTTTTTTTTTGTTGTGTTCATTTATGTAGACGTTTGTTCCTTTCAGTTTTTTTGCTTGTATTATTACATTGTTTCTTGATTTCCTGTTTGTGAACTTGATCACTACAGTCGGTTTGTGTTTGTTTAATTTATTAGGCAATATGTGACAAATTGAAATGTCCTTTTGTTCGATTTTAATGTCCTTGTCCTGTAAGAAAGTAACTACTTGCTGTTCCAGAGTTAGTTGTTGCTCCTGTGGTGAATCTTCAGTGATGCTTCCATTTTTAGTAGCATCTGCATAGGATCGGTGTTTGATTTCCAATCCGTTAATCAGCAAGTCATTGTTTTTGATAAATTGTTCTAGACCATCTACTTTATTTTCCAGTTCAGATATCTTTTGGTCTCTTGCCATCACCTGGTTTTTCAGCAGCTTTATCTCTCCCAACGCTTCCATCAAGCTGTTCAGCTGATCTGCTTGTCTTTTCTGCTCTGTACCCATA